TAGGGAACGTAATCTAAATAATCCACAGCTTTATTATCACAGTAAAGCTAATAGCAGGTTAAAAAGTATGCGGGGCGCAAGGCGCCTCCAGCTAATTATTAGAGAACTATTAGAAAGTAAAGCCCTGGGAAGCGACGGGAATATAGTTATCTAAGTAATTCCGAAGTAGGATAAGTGATTTAGAAGCACTTTTAGCACGGTGATCTAAGTGATCCTAAAGTAAAGGAAGTGATTAGAGATTACACTTAGTAAAGTAATCTTTATAATTGAGTAGCTTTTGTGACTAAAATAAGCTATTATTATGCACTATTTAGCTGCACCAAACTAAATTATTTAAAAGCGGTTTCGACTAGTATTTTGTTATAGGCTAACTATATAGCAAGACTAAATAGGAACTGGAGCTGGCCGTAGTAGCTAATTAAGGAAGAAAGGCGCAACGGCGTGGCTATATAATGATGGGACGCTTACTTTTTAGCATAGGTAAGCTGGATTACCTAGCTTACTTGGTAAGCGTGGTGAGCTAGGAAAGATTATGTGACGAACCCCTGTACAGAACCTCTGAAAGGGATACTGGTTAAAGGCTACTTCTGACAATTAGTTCGGTGCGGCTAAATAGCGCACAACAAGATGTCTCAATGTAAACACAAAATACCGTGAATACAAGCTGTGATTGCATACTGCAGAACTATCTATCTACACCAGCCAGTTCCTCCGTATATATAGACCCTGTGCCAAGCCTAGCACTGTCCTGGATCGATTGACTCGACCATCGATCCTATCGATACTGTCCCTTTTGGGATTGACTCTTCTGGATCGATCCTCGATCCCAATGATCCTGCTCTAATTAGTCCTCGCTCCTGTACTAATAATTGGCCCGTGATGCGCCCCGCGCCCCACCAAAGTGTTAAGCCGTAACAGATTACCACCGCTTACTAGTGAGCTAAGGTAAGCTAGATACGGAGGTACCTAGAGGATTAAGGTCTATATATATAAAGGAACTGGCTAGTGTAGATGGATAGTTCCGCAATATATAATAGTTATAAGTTATAATCGTTAGTATTTAGACTTTTAATAAGCTATTTGTTGTAGACTATTTAGTAGTACCGAACTAGAATTAAGTGCCCTTAACTAGTATTTTTTTTAGAAGTTTTAGATAGAAGTTTATTATATATTTTATTTAGATGTTTTAGATAGAAGTTCGTTATATTTATATATATAAAGAAACTAAATAGCTAGTAAATTGTTTTGCAATATATAATATAAATTACATTTGTTATTATAAAGCTATTGTACTTAAAATAACTAGTATAATATATTATTTAGCTGCACTGAATTAATTTTTAATAAACCTTTTTAATTAAGTATTTTTTTATAGATTTTAAATAAAAGCTATTAATAGTTTAATATATAAATAATAACTAATTTCAAATTAATATAAATTAAGGAAAATTAATAATTTAATTAAAATATAATATTAAAGTTAAATAATATATAAAAATTATTATAAAGAATTTATATAGGTAAATTTATACTTTCTTAACTATTTAAATTTTATTTTAAGATAGTTAATATATATTAAACTAATATTAATCTTTATAAAAATTAAATATTTTTAAAATTTAAGTTTTTTTAAAAGTATAATAGCTTACAGAATATTAGTATTTTAAAATTAAAAACTATACTTCGAAAAATATTAATATACTAAATATTAGTAGTTATGTTAAAAATATAGAAAATATAAACATTATATTTAAATAATATAAAATAAAATTTAACGAAACTTTTACTTATACTTTATAGTAATAATAATATATAAATTAATTATTAAATTGAAGTGTAAAAGTAATATCTAAAGCTACTAGTAACAAATAATAATATATATATAATAGTTATAGAAAAAAATAATAACTAAAAGTGGTAAACTAAAAGCTCGCATTTTTAAAGAATATAAGTAGCTAGTGCTGCAGCGCTAGGATCTACAGGGCAAGTGCGCTAACAGCTGCAGCAATTAATAGCTAATCGCCTTATCCAATCTATCGAGCTAGTCTATAATAGGAAAGGTGCCTTAGGGTAGTAAATACCGGCAACAACGGAAAACGTCATCGTCATCAATAACTGCAATTAATCTATCAATTGTCAATAGCTCCATGGATCCTGACTGCGAAAGGCTTGCAACTAGTCCCAGTAATTAACCGTTGAACTAACTATTAAACTGCCTTTGCAAGTGGAAGCAAGTAGTGATTGACGAATAAAAGCTTATGGGCAGTGCTGACAATAAGACAAGTTAACCAACCAGGAGAGGCTCAAAGTAATTAAACAAAGGAAAGCTGGTGCCAGGGCGCCAGGAAGAAAGAAAGGCTTGCAAAGCACTGTTTGCAAGGCCCATAAAAGGAAAGGCTTACAACCGACAGTTGTAAGCAGTGGTGAAGATCAGGTTGCCAGACCTCTGCCAATATCAGAGCTGACAGCGGTCAACAGAGCCATCAGTCGGCTTACATCGACTTGGACCAGATTCCCATTACGCCAGCTGCTATTCTTGATGACGAAATCCTTGAAAGTACTGGGTGTGGGTGAAGGCGGCATCGGCGGAAGTATCGCCTCAGGTCTGATGTAGCCAGTCTCATGTAAGTGGGTGAACAGCTGATTGCGCGAGGCAAAGGCGGTGCCGCAGGTTGAACGGGCGCAGGGCTGAGGCGAGCGGACCAAACGCTCCCGGCGTGGCTTGCCAGGCGAGGTCTTGGTCCCGGGCGACGGTGAGGATGAGCGGGTGCGAGGGCCGTTGCCTGTGGAAGGCTGGTTGATAGGCTTCGTGCCAGGCAACGTCTTGTTGCCAGAGGGAGGCTTGTTGCCGGACAAGGCCTTGGTAGGCAGTGTTGACTCTCGCTCAGGGGTGATGGGAGCCGGGGCGGCTGGCAGGGAGAGTGGAACGAAGTCCAAGGCAAAGCCTTCACTGGGCCCGCAGCGGGCTTATTGGCGTCAAAGTTGAGGGCATTGCGAAGACCTGTAACAGCTGTAGTAGATAAGGCGATGAAGTTGTTAGTGGGCTCAATCGAAATGGAAGATGCCACCATTTCACAGGATGACGTAATGGTCAAGGTTTGGGGTGTAGGGACCTGGGCGCACAGGTCAACCAAACGCTGCTCCAGACTATCAATGTAATCTTGCAGCTGGAGTTGCTTGTCTTCCAGAGTCTTGACTTGATACTCAAGACCCTTCATTTGGCCTGCTTTTTCGTTTGCACAGAGTATATACGCAACGAGAGTTCTCTTTTGAGGGTGACGATTTCTTCGTCCTTCTGGTATAACTAGTCTGTAAGGCTGGGTGCCGAAGGTGACGTAAGCTACTGCTGTAAGGCTTTATCGGAGCAGCCGTATGGTCGTTGAGGCGGCGTTCCAGAAATAATGTGACCATTGGCTGTGGAACCTGGCCTGATGCTCGTCGTCGTCGTCAACAGTGAGGTTATCGTGAAAGTAGATACCACACTGATTGTAATATTCTTTAGTGTTGACGATGTGGGTGGGTGCGGTGGAAGTCGTCTTGACGGCTAGTTCGCTCGGGGTAGTATGACATTGGTGAGGGGACACGTACTGGCGACCAGTAGGCCACTGCTCAGGCAAGGTCACCTTGACGGTCGGTTGCTGACGTAATGACGGTGCGGTCGGTCGGTGAGGGAGTTGCTGTGAGAGCTGTAGGCTACTGGGCGAGCAAGACGAAAAGAGGTGTGACCTTATACCTGTTGCCAGGGAGGGAGGGTGAGGGTTCTAGTGACGGCGGCAACGTTATGGATAGCCTCGCATTCGAATCAACGAGCAAAGGCTTGCCCGGCTACCGGTGATCACTGGGCAAGTAGGTGGTTGTTGAGGGAGTAGTTGTCATGGAAGACTGGGTCGTCGGCTGAGCTCTTGGGAGGGCGGCCGGCGCGGCAGAAATCGTGGGCGGTGAGTCACCGGTCACCTAACGGTTCAACGCGGGGCGGTTGGCTGCCTGGGCTTGAGAGCGGGCAAGGGGTTGATTTTTGTCAATTGTGGTGGAAAACATTGATTTCGATGGAATTTGGAGAATCGGTGGCCGACTTACAAGTTAACTGTGAAGCTGGCGGCGCGCGGCAGAATTCCGACACCGGCAGGCGGTAAGCTTGTTTGAGCACCTTGATGAGCAAGGTAGACAAAGCAGTCAAGCTGCGTTGGCAGAGGAATTTGTCGTTTTTTGTCGACTTGGTGGATTTCGTCGTTTGACGTGGATTTGGTTGGCGTTGCCAGTGGTGGGTGTGCTGGACTGACTGTAAAGTCGGCCGTGAAGATGTAATCGACACAGGATTTTGATCCTGGTTTCGGCGGAAGCGCGATTTTGCATGGGAAATAAATGGTGGGAAATAGGATCCGATTTTCTGGTATGATGCTGTCAGACGGCGGTGATGTCGATCAAATTGGTATGGCTTCGGTTGACGCGGCGGTCGAACTGGGCCTTGCGCTCAGGGCATTGGTCGTCGGGAGGCGACGCGGCGGTCGGCTTGTTTGACTTGGTGGGTTCGTGAAATCGAAAATCGAGCAACCTGCCTGGTTAAAAAGCTAGTCGCGCGGCGACGGAACTAACGCTATTCAGAGGTAATCGATGAATGGTAGCAAGCTACTATTTGACACCCGGGGGGCTTGGACAGAGGCAATAGTATAGGTATATTGGTTGTAAGTGAGGAAGATGATGGTTGAATGCACGTGCCACAGGGACTTTCGCTTGCGAAGCACAGCAGCTGCTAGAGAACAACTACAAGCCCACGGGCCCCACTGTCGCGCTAGATAGCAGCACCCCACCCGTGGTCTCTGCGGGGAGCTAACGTGCATGGGTCCTGGGTCCAAATGCCAGGTAGCAGCAGCTTCAACTTTATATTTCGGATACACTGCAAAACAAAACAACTGTCAACTGCCCTGAAACTCCTGCGATCCGGTTACATCATCACCAAATCGTTATCGCGCACGCCAGCCCTCTAGCCACCTACCGGCAAGATGGTACGCCTAGCCACCTCAATCCACACCCCTCAGCCTTGCGCGCCCCTTGCTGACTGTTGATCTCTCTCACAAATAGAACACAACCTTCAATAGCGCCCTCAAACAATCCACGTCCCTCCGAAAAGATCTCTCCTCCCTCTCTTCCCCCGACGCCGACATTACCCCCGCCATCCTCGGCTCCGTCAGCGCCAGCCTCGCGGCCCTCTCCCGAACGATAGACGAGTACAATACACTCGCCAAGCAGGAGCTCAACAAGGCCAAGCAAGAGAAGGCCTTTGAACGCATCAAGGACTTCAAGCAGGAAATCTCGTCGTACCGTGCCCTGCTCGACCGACTTAATAAGGACAGAGAAGAGCGGGAGTATGTGAACCACAGGGGGGAGCTGCTGGGGAGGAGGCCCTTTGCCGCGCAAACCCCCGAGAACCCATATACTGGCGCTACAGTGTCAGGTGTGCAGACTACTCCGGGGTATGGGCATGCGAGGACGAACAGCACGGTCGAGTCTAGCGGTGGGATGGGGATAGGGAGCGGTGATGTTATGCGGGAGTCGCATGCGCTGAGGGAGCAGGCGTTTTTCCAGCACACGAACTCGGCGTTAGATGATTACATTGCTAGGGGCCAGGCTGTGTTGGGCGATCTTGGGCAGCAGAGGGAGATACTCAAAAACACGCAGCGGAAGCTGTATAGTGTTGGAAATACGCTCGGGATATCGGGGGATACCATTAGGATGGTAGAACGGAGGGCGAAGCAGGATAAGTGGATTTTCTGGGGAGGTGTCATGGGCTTTTTTTTGTTTTGCTGGTTAGTGTTGCATTACCTGCGGTAGTGTCCCGACCAGGGAGAGTGGGAAATAGTCATGAAGTGTGGAGTTTTGGCATGGTTTTACGGCAAACTGGTACTAAGGTATATATGATCGAAGTTTTTGTTTTGTGTGCTCCGCCCCTCTGATCATCACAGCGAAAGCGTCCCACTAGTTTTCCCTCAGCGACATAGTAAATAGCACATCCTTAGTTGCTTCTACCTCGATGACTTGGGTCTCGGGCAGGATGTGGTTGCTGGTGCTCATCTGCCCCCCAAATTCCGTCGGCCAGTCCGTTACGTCCCATTCCAGGCCCTTGGTCGTGATGTAGCTCGGCTCTTTCATAGGCAGAATGCCTACCCACTTTGCGAACACGTCCTTCTCCCCTGCCGGACCGTCCCTCACCCGGATGACGTGCTTTCTGCCTGCTTTGAGCATGAAGGTCAAAGACTCGCCGCTGAAGAAGTACATCTTGCCTTCGTTATAGTCGGGGTCCCGCTGAAACAGATATAAGTGGTGAAGCTGGGATATGCCGTGGTCAACTCTGCCCCCGAGGCTGCCAACAACGACGATGTCCTTCCCCTTGAGAGAGGGACGATATTTCGCGCGGGTGTGCTCAACTGCTTTGGCGAAATCGGTCGAGTAGTCATCGCGGTAGTATATCACGTTGGTGCGTCTTGGAGGGGTCTCGTAGTAGGTGCGCGCCACTTGGCTGATGGAATCCAGGTCACCGATGATAACGTCGAGGTCGTCAAAGGAGGGGTCGGAATGAATGCCGGCCGCATCGTGGAGGCAGTTGGCGGCACCGTCGGCGGCTATATGAAAGATGGCTGTAGAGGAGGTTGAGTTAATGTGTGGGGTAATGAATAGGTATGAAGGGAAGGGGGGGCACGGACCATTATTCCATAGTCTCTTGATCATGCCGACATGATTGTGGATGGGCTGGTTGAGGATGAGAAGGGCGTAGTCGGGAGGTGCGTTACTGGATGGAGGGCGGAAGATATCTGTAGGGTTCCATTCGATGATGGGCGAAGCCTTCTTTTGCTGGGGAATGCATGCAGCCATGGCTGTGATGCTCTGTTTGGCTGGTTAGTGTACCCTGCAGGATGATGACCGGGATGCGAGGATACCAGGTGGGTGGCGGGGGCCCTTTAGGTAAAGGGCTTGATGTAAACTCCAATACTGCGTGGTGGAATCTCTAAATTGTGCCCAGAATAAAAAGTTGGACAATGTGGATTGTAGGAGTTGATAGCCGGGTAGATAAGTTATGTGAGCTCTCTATATTCGAGTTTATAAGTAAGTGTTTGGAACTGAGGTCGATACAATTTGAGCAAGGCTATAACACGGACGGCTCGGATCTGAGGTCGATACAATTTGAGCAAGGCTATAACACGGACGGCTCGGATCAAACTGTTTACCCAGACTAGTGGAACCCTAACCCTAGGCACAGGAAACTATGACAGGAAGAACAAAATGTCCCTTTCTCAAAAGGATAGCTTTATTTGGGGTCGCCTCGTAGGTAATTGAAGAGATGACACTGCTTTACAAATGTCTGCCCCTATGGTCTCTTTTGTAGAACATAGTTTCTATAGGAAACTACATACTTTCAATTCCGCTCAACGCTTCGAGGCACCGAGGATAAAAACTGTCAAATCCACGCCGACGTCAAGTGTGGATTCCATGTCTGCGGGCCTCAGTGGGGATGCTGTAATTAGCCGCCCGCTGTGGGGATCACGCAGCCTGATAACCTCACAGCCTCACGCCAAGGTAGGTAGGCACCGTAGTACCTTACCAAAATCGACTCGATCCTCTCGCCGCATTTCATCGAGCTGCAGCATATCGTGACGTCCAGGCCGCGCACAAGCTTCCGTTCCCGTCCCAGTAGTTGTGGCACTGGCTGTGCCGCCCGCTTCCATGTTATTAGGAGGAATCCCGGTTGGGATATGAACCGCCTTATTGGCTGAATTTTAATGTCGGCATCTTGATATCTTAAGGACCATGCATTAAATGTATGTGTTGGTCGACTTTGTTATCTGATATTGAAGTTTATCGTTTTGACCTAGCACGCTCTAGAACCGACTTTTCGGTGACGCTCTCCTCAAATGGACGCCTGACAGGCGCCTTGACAACCGTTCATTCACCATGGTTGGTGAGTTAGGTATATATTCCAGCTATGTCCCACTGGCCCGTCGCAGCCCGGTTCAGCTGAACATCACACCCGTCACCCTGTTTCAACTAGAGACCATGGTCATCTATAAACCATCAATCGTTTTGACCGCAGTGCTCTACGCCGACCTTGCCGGAGCTCAGGACTATGTCGGCCCAAACTTCGAAAGATGTCAAAAACGAGTCACCAGCATCTTGGAGGGAAAGGAGGAATGGAACGGCATCAACAACGTGACCGTAGAGCAGTACATATACCGTGGTGCCGTTCGGGGGATGAACTCCGAGTATGAGCAAACTTCCAGAGATAAGTTCATCACCATCACCACCGAGGGTTGCAAGGTGCTCTGTGAGAGCCCTGTCGACTTTTATTGGCACTCGGATATCACGACCACCCTCAGCATCATTTCCAACTGGATATTGCCTATCATGGCCTTGCTTTCCGCTCTTCCATACGATTCCTTGCACCGCAGGACGGCCGGGGCACCGTGGTGGCAGACCAGGATCATGGGGACCCTTCGCGCCCTGCTTAACTGGCTCGGGTCTCCCGAGACAGCCCTTACAAACACATTATTCAACATCCATCAGATGCACGAATGTTTAGCTGAAACCAAGTCATCAGGCCAAGGCATTTCGGGAAACAGCAACCTGCGGTCACTCAAGATGGATGCCTACTACGTGCTCAGCTGCATAGGCCAGTTCAACATGCCCGATTTAAGCAGTGACGAGTTTTTGGAGCCCCTCGTCTACGCCTTATTTAGGGGCTTTGTACACTTGGATGCTGGAGAGGCAGCCGCTCATGCCCAATCCACGACGTACCCGCCAGCCGGCACTACACCAGATCAAAGGGAACGGTCGGAGCAAGCGAAGGTGTGGACGAGAGAACTTCTTCAAGAAATGGCGTTTCAACTCAGGATGCTCCGTCGTCGAGGAATTTACCCATCACTTGTCAATGTGTTCCTCTTCTGCGTCGCCTACGCCATGGCCGTCGTCCTAGCTTTTAGCGACGTTGGCGAAAGAACCACAGCTCACGCTTTGGCTCTAGGTATCCTAGTCAGCTGGCTGCCGCTGCTTGTCTTATTTTCCATTCTGGACCGGAATCCCATGTCAGCCGATCGGGGCAGGAAGTTGATGTCTCGATGGCTGTGGAACGCCGACGCAATCCGTCGGTGGGAGAAAGGTTCGGGAATCCCTGCTTCCCAGACTCTGCCGCCAGTCATGCCGGCGGGAGGTCCGCCTGCGTCACCGGACTGGTGGACATGGAACAAGGAAGAGAATTTGCGCGCGTTGCAGCTACCGCCCGGTCAAACGCCTCTATTTGGTTCCTTTCAGCAGCCGGTAAGATTCGACCCCTTTATTGGAGAGTTTGTTGGCCAAGGAAGACAAATGGGCTACCATGGTCTGGCTTTTTCTGTTGTGCACAGTGTCTATGACAGCCACGGAACCGATCGACGGATGAGGTCCATTCAGGAAATCGTGGAACATACGCGTGTCAGGCTCGATGGACCGCGGCCCTGGGCGTGGTGGAGGATGGCATTCATTTCACTGACGATAGTTTGGCTCTTTGCCGGAATGGCATTTATGATCTCATACAACACTCCTACTGTCGGTTTCGCTTGTCGGTCTGGATCCTACACAGTGTACGGCCTTCTTACCTTCGGTTCCTGGTTCTTGTCATTGCTGCCATGCTACAAACACCCTGATAATTGGATGAGAGCCGTGGCCCATGCCTTCAATGGCCTGGCGCTTCTCACTCTCATACTCATCATCTTCGCCTCCTTCAGCGGTATTTTCAACAACTGCATATGCAAAGGAGGGCTGGCTGGATACTTGGACTTTGAGAGTGCAGAGTTCTACCGGAACCCAAACCATTTCAACGTCTATAAATGGTGGATGGCCGGTGCTATTGTTGGTGCTTTGCCCATAACCTTCAGCTTGCTCAGGGCAGCTTGGTTGTTGATTCGACTGAAGCCTCTGTGGCAGGCTTCGGAGCAGCACAATCCACATGTGCGCAACCCCGGAGTTGATATGATCTGGTTGATTTAGGCAATTTCTTATTATTTTATTTACGACTTGGTTACCCAGCAATACCAATCATGGTGTTCATCTGCATCATGTTTGTTTGTTGTTTTGAGCCCCTGAAAGAGCGTCAGCATTCCGTTAGTTACCTCTTACGGCGAGAGTCTTGGCACCACACCTTGCTGCCTAAAACACACAGCTAAGATCTTGTTGACATAAAAACCCCAGCCATGTTCTCTTTATAAACACGCATTCTTTTTACTGTATTCACTCCCTCAATCACCACGAATCCGTTTGGTCTCATAAAATGGCCCCGTGCAAACATGCAAACCTGTTGCTCGATGTATCACCAAACGCGACCCAGGCTGGATTCGCGCGCCCACCGGCCGCCAAGAGAAGAGCAGCAGCATCCCTTGCCAGCCGCAAAGAACCAGGCACGGCTGCTGAAGAAGAAGCCCAAAATCTCGCTGGCACCTTTCCAGGTCCCTTGGTCCTCCCAGATGACCTGCTGTCCGTCTACCCCAAAGACCCCGACTCTGGGCAGACAGTCAAGGTCTGGCAAAGGTCCAAACACCGCAACCGCCTCAACGCCGGCACCCCCAACACCATCCATGTTGCTGCACCACCCTCCTACTCCCCCAAGATGAAGCACATGAGGGAGTGGATCGTCCCCCTCACCGCCACCGAGGGGGAAGAAGACGTCAGCCCGCCGAAACCAAAAGACCTAACCGATTACCTCTCCGCCTACTACCACCCTCTCCCCGTGACCCAAACCCCCAATCTCACCTGGATCCCTTGGGAAGATGATGATCGCCCACCAAACGCTACAAAGGACGAAAATAGGTACATCGGCCTCAAGCAAGGCCAGAACATCACCCGGATCCGCACCCGCCCCTGCCCCGACGGCGCCTACGAGCGGCAGCTGAACCTGAGCGACATTTTGGACGGGCTGCTGCACATGGTCAAGGAGATCCACCCCCGGTACGCGCTTGTGATGATGCTTCATCACGATCTGTACGAGGACGAGACGGACGATTTCTGCTGCGGGAGGGCGTACGGCGGGAGCAGGGTTTCGGTTGTCACGTCGAGTAGGTATCATCCTGGGCTGGACTGGTACCAGGAGATTGAACGGGCGCACATGTAGCCTGCCAGTCACTGTGGGAATTTTGTGAGGAGGAAGTGTGGGATACGGTCTGGAGCGGGGGTGAAGAGGAGGAAGGTGATGATGGTTGAGGGAGACGGTGCTGGGGAGGGAAAGGGGGGGGGGACGGCCATGAGGGCGGACGTGGATGCGTATGTTGCTGCGCCGGCGCCCGAGAAGGACTTGGCGGGGTTGTGGTTTGGGAGGACGGCGCTGACCGGCTTCGCACGAGCTGGGGCATTGTTTTTGTTTGGGGCATTGCAATTATTAATGTTGCGCCATGCAGGGGACAGCGGGGATCGTGGAGGATGTGAGGCAGCCGCCGTATTTGTGTCCGGTTTGTTTGGAGAAGGTGATTTCGGGGTTCTTGGAGGTGAAGGAGTATGCAAACATTGGGAGGGAGAGGTTGATACTACAGAGGTATAAGAAGCTGCATGAGTTTTGCACCGGCAAGACAAGGGCGGGGGTCAAGATGTTTGCGGGTTATGGAGCCTGGTTGGGCAAGAGGATCGAGGCGCTCAAAGCCGAGGAGGAGGGGGGCGAGGGGCATTTGTAGCCATTGATCTAACAAATGACAGCGAGTAATAACTAGACCGAAAGCCTTCTCTGCTGGTTTATAATGAAGGAAAACGTGGGAAGCAACATGTACCGGGCATCAAGGGGTGAGGGCAATGAGCTTCCCAAACTGGGTGTTCTTCGAAGCAACCGCCCATGCTTCGTCAATCTCATCCAACTTGAACCTGCCAACAACCTCCACGCCAGTCTCCGGTCCAAGCCTCAGCACGCCAGACTCGGCCATCCTGACAATCTGTTGGGCGTCAGCTCTGTCATACATGTATTGCCCCTTGATCGTCAAGCTCTTCCATACAATCATGGCATACGTTACCGAGAGACTCTCTGGGAGCACGCCCATAAGCGAGGCTCTCCCATAGTTCCTCAAGGCCTTGAAGCAGCTGCCCACATGGGTGCTTCCTGTTGCAGCAGCCGGACTGATATCAAGGTATGCATCCACCGGCCCCCAGCTTGTCAGCTTCTGCACATCCCCGTCTTCATCCCCAGACATGGGTACAATCTGGATCTTCCCCCTGGGATACAACCCCTGAATCCGTTTCAGAATCTCCATATTTCTCCCCATGACAATGACCTGCCCGGCCCCCATCGCGACAGCAACCTCTACCGCAGCACCGCCAAACTGGCCCGTAGCCGGCGCAACAATCACCCTCTCCCCCGCCCGCAGCCCGATACCCTTCCACCCCCCCAGCACAACAAGCTGCACAGGCAACTGCAACAGATTCTCGACACTGTACCCCAACCCACCATCCCCCTTTTGGCTTACAAAGCCTCTCCTCATCCAACGGCTCGACGTTCTCCAACGGGGCAAGGATATACTCGGCATAAGAGCCATTCTTCCAGTTCTTCTCGATCCACTCCCTGCTGCGGGCACTCCGCCGTCAAAAGTGCCCCAAACAGCTTGGATCTCCTCCGGGTTGTCTCTCGCCCGGAGAAAGGACTGGATCATGACGAGCTTGCCGACGGGGAGGGAGGTGGTGTCCGGGCCGGGCTGGACCACGCGGCCGATGGCGTACCCCCCGCCTAGGATCATGTCGGGGGCAAGGGTGAAACCTACTTTTCCAGAATAGATGTCGTAGACCTTTTGGGAAACTTGGGCGGCGAGGACGCGGATTAGGACGGAGCCGGGGACCACGGTGGGGACGGGGACGGTGCGGAGGGTGATTTGAGGATCGGGGGAGATGGTGGGGAGGTAAAGGGCGCGCATATGGGTTGGGAGGGACATTTTGGTGTTGTGGTTTTGTTTGTACGTATGAGTGACAAAGTCTTGTCTGATGTGTCCAGACTCTTGTTTGTTGGTGAGAGATACCTGCCGTACCTTGCTCGCAACAACAGTTTCGAGGACCTTCCTTTTATACCTGATCATCCTGCCAGGGTGCTGCCATGTTGTTGTCGTTTTGCCGGCGTGATGGCTTTCCTTCTGCCGTATTGTGGTTCACCAGTCCCATCCTTCTGTCGTCCATAATCCATAATACCTTACTTAACTTCCGGTGGCTACGACTTACTTGGCTGCCAATGACATGTGATTGGCCAAACGGGCGACAAGGCACATCACGGGGTTTGTGTACTTTTGGAATACGCATTGGGGTTAGCGTGGTTCTCTCCGGGCCAATGATTGTGGACCGTTGGGTATAGCGGGACTGGACCGATTTCAAATCGGAACAGTCTGGACTTCTGACCTGAAGGCCGTCTTTAATATTGCTTATCTTTCAACATCCGCAAACTTGTGTTGGGGTTTGAATACGACTAGAGGGTGATCCTCCCGTTTGCCGCCGAGTATTCCTAAACCTTTTGGGCCAACAACAAAAAACTCTCCCTCCGGCCTTACCGGCCCCACCTCTCGGGCCAGGATCCGCTAATCTCCACCTTTCTACCACTCTCCGACCATGTCGAGCACCAACATGGCGTCTGTAAAGAGCAGTGGCATCGTAAAGGCAAAGTCTGGATCGAAAGCAGACACCAGCTTCCGTAAACGTAAAAGCCATACCAAATCCCGTAGCGGGTGCGTCAACTGCAAACTCCGCCACATCAAGGTATGGTTTTCGTTGCTGTTATCACCCCATTTTCGTTGGTCCTAACCGGAGCAGTGTGACGAATCAAAGCCGATATGCAACAACTGCACCAACTTCCGTGTATCGTGCACATATGACCGCACCCTCAAGTCATCCGAGGCACTCGCTCTTCAGCCATGGTCAGAGCAGGTGTTTCCGTTGGTTAGCGCCAGAGAGACTCATCTAATATATGCATCTCTCGCCAGCTTGTCGCTGAACCGTCAGGTGTTGACCATGCTCAACGACCACATTCGGGAATCCGATCCGCAGGCTGTGGAGAATGGCTTTCTGTTCAAGGATCAGCATTTGAGATATCTGAATCAGTTCCATGAGAAGACCATCTTGTCGCTCAAGATGAACCACAAACTGGATCTGTACCGCAGGGAGAGTGTCAGATTGGCCATTCGGGTATTCTTATCCCCTTAACATGTCACAATGCCTTCAGTGCTAACCAACCAGGAACCCTTCCTCCTCCACCTCGTCCTCGCCGTAACCCTCATGCACGAACGCCTCGCCGCCTCCCCCCTCACCACCGAGCCCCCTTCCATCCAAGAGCTCTACCACCACGCCACCGGCTCCTCCCAGCTCAACCAGCTTCTATCCAGCCACCCCTCCCAACTCAGCCGCGTGCAAAAAGACGCCATGTTCATGGGCACCATCCTCCTCGCCTGCACCTCCTTCGCCCAGCTCGACGCCTCCCTCCCCCTAGCCTCCCACTGGCCCTTCGTCTCCTCTCCTCACGACCTCGACTGGCTCAAGATCTGCTCGGGAAAGCGCGTCGTCCAAAAGCTAGCCGATACTCACGCTGCTGATTCCGCGCTGAGGGATATCTCCTACGAGTTTGTCCTTTCCGGTCCCGCCGCGAGGGTAGAACTCCTTCCCGAGGAAGACGCGATTGCCCGACTGCCGGAGCCGTTGAGGAGGCTGTTGAGGTTGGATCACGCGGGTGTGTCGGCCAAGACGAACGCGTATTATGACGCTGGGGTGGTGGTGGGGAGGGTTCTGCCGTTGGAGATAAGCGACGATAACCTGCTTGTGTCTTTGGTGCTGGTAAGTTTTCTGCCGGTCAGGTTCAGGGAGATGCTGGAGGAAAAGGACGCAAAGGCGCTGCTGTTGTTTGCGTGGTATCATGCCAAGATTGGGCAGTTTGGGAGGTGGTGGGTTTGGAGGAGGGCGGTGACTGAGGGGAGGGCTATTTTGGCTTATTTGGAGAGGTACTATGGGGGAACGGTGGGTGGGGATGAGGAGCTGTTGGGGTATCCGAAGAAGTGGTGTGGGATGGAGGTGATGGTGAATGAGGGGATGACTTGATTGGTTGTGCAGTATTTTTGTGCTGTTGGGGAAGAAGGAGGACTGGTTCATGCTAGAGCTGTATGTAGGTATGCTTCAAGAAGCGCTCTGGAGCACCGCCTTGCCGAACCTATTATCTAGTCATAACACGATGCATAGGTACCTACCTGTCTTATCTCGGTAGGTAGGTATATGTGGTTACCACTACTTCTGTTGAAATATGTAGAGATGAGGCAAATTGAGAGTGGTGGATGAATAAGGTGCCTGGTAGGTAGGTAGGTAGGTACCAGGTAATCTGAAAGCCAAGAGACCATGTCCCCCATGCCAAAGCTTTGGCAGAGATTATCAACAACTTCAAACAACACCCGATTCCCTGCTGCTTCGAGCTCCCAACATGATGACAGCTTGCCTCAGGGTCAATGTCCGTCATCTTCCCTGGGCGCTGGAGATGTCGACAAAGAAATCCCCCTACCCTTCGAACCACCAAGACGGTACCCAAGTGTCGCAAAGAGTTGGAAGGAGTGAGCCTGGGGGGTGTGGCAGTGCCCATCTTGGCAAATGAGACACTGCCCTCAAGGCATCTTGGCATTCGGTCTTAAAAAGTCACGATCACCCCGCAATCAGACACCTATCTGGATGTTGAGACGCAGCTACAGCATCAACAACATTGTTTGCCGCTCTGAACAGATCAAATCAACCCCGGCCCAGCTCACTCAAGATGTCATTCGCACCCCCACCATACCTCCCGCCCCCACCAAAAGACAATCCTCCCACCATCTCCCAAGGTGCCCTCCCAACCGAAGAACCTCCAGCCTACTCCCCAGCTGGAATCAACAACCCTCGACCCGAACGACCCCATGCCCCCAGCCACCTTTTCCGTCCACGGCCGCTTCATCTACGCCTCCCCCCGTCCCCTTCCACACCCCCGAGCTCAGACCCCCTCCTACCAAACCGATTACCCCATCCTGACACCCCACACACGGTTCTCGAACAGTCGACTTTCAGCGCGTGGCAGTACAGGTACCGAAGCCTCCAACCGCCCACCGGCAGGCCCGTCATCTCCCCACCGCGGGACAAAGACCCTCTACACCCCTGTCCCCCACCACCTCGCCCTATCCTGGGGGGAATGCCCCTCTCCAGGCCCTTAGTGGCCTGTTCCCCCAAAGAGTCGAAAGACGCTTGGGGAGGTGCATATTGCCAAGTCGCCTGCTTTCCACACGGGGTACCGCGCAAATAGGGTATTGCCTGATCATGAGGTTGCCAGGTTGGAGAGGAAGGGGGAGAAGGTGCCGAGGGAGTATCACTTTCAGATCAAGGAGGGGGGGGCTGAGAGATGGGTGTGGAAAGATTCGAATGGAAGGGCGGTGGCCTTTCAGTGGAGGGGGCAAAGAAGTGAGTTTGGCGGTGGTGATGGTCAGCCGGGGAGTAGTCGGGATCCGGATGGGGGGGTTGGTGATGGGGGGGGATGGGGGGTGCCCAAGCTCCAGGTTCTGGTGGAGTTAGACAGGAGGACGCTGGATAGTTTGGTGGCGGTGTGGTGTCTCTGGGCGATGCATTTGCATCATGAGGCTACGGCGCCCAAGAAGACCTGGGAAGATCGTATGTCCTCTTATAAGTCGATCACACTGCTCGAGAGGTGGCCGAGGTGTTTATTCCACTTTTATGGCGCGTGCTAACTATGAGATGGCAGGATTGGCCTTGATGGCGAGGAAGAGACCTGAGGGTACGCCACAGGGGGGCTTTTATACTATGAAGTTTTAATGGTTGGATGCATGGAAGCACAGGGGTTGGGTGGAGAAAGATGGTCGTGGTTGGAAACAAATGATACCCTGGACGATGGATCAAATTGAATGAAGAACCGATGTTGTTCTCTCACATAATGATAGACTTAAGAAGCAGTGTGTCTACTTTGAATCTGCCCCCATGTCGCATAAAAAGCCACTGGCTGCTCTCCCGTTTTCCTCGACAACATCGTAGTTCCAAATCCTCTCAAACTTGGCAGATATCTCTTCCCCAAACTTGACCTTGTCGTTGCCGACTCTTTGATCCTGCCACTGAAAAAGATCCACGGCCTCTCGAGTCGCCTGGACAACCCACTGGGTCCTGTCGAAGCGGGCATCGTTGTATCCTTTCAGTGCAGCCTCCACAGTTGCACGCTCGTCTTTGGCTGATGTAGGACCCGTCCCCAGCATGTCGTTGAGATGGCTCAATAATGTGGCCAAGAAGTATGCATCTTCTATCCCAAGCCCTCCCCCAGCACCAAGATGAGGGCCAGTGGCATGCGCCGCATCACCAGCAAGGCACACCCTTCCTCTGATATAAGTGGACGCTGGGTTCTCAGCCATATCGAAGATTGCCCACTTTTCCATCTCATCCGGGAAGAGCTGAGCAATGTTTCTGGCCGTCTCATTCCATCCCTGAAGTGCATCAATCACCTCCTTTTTGGACCCCTGACAGGTATGTCTTCCTTGCGCCACCAAACCCTCTGGCCAATCCTTGTTCTTATCCGAGATGACAACCAGTACGTTTAAAACGGAGCTGTTTCCCACGGGATATGTGATGATGTGAGAGTCTGGCCCATTGTACATGAACCTCGTCGAGCACTTGTATTTCCCAATCGCTTGGACAGCCTGGTCCATCGGGACCAACGACCGGTAGCAAAACCTTTGCGAGTATCCCGGGTACGCCGCCTTCACTAGATTCTTCCCCGTCGATCCCAGCACGTAGTGCCTCACTTGAGATCTGATTCCATCACAACCCACCACCACAGTGGCATTGACCTTACTCCCGTCTTTAAAACTGACCAGCACCCCATCGTCCGTTTCCCGAATCCCCTCGAGCTCCTTTCCAAACTCGACCGATCCAGAGGGCAGCAGTGATGCCCATGCGCCCAAAATGTCACTCCTCTTGCACCCTTGAAACCCATCCTTGCCCACGAACTTCTTGTACATCAACTCCCCCTCCTCAGAATGCCCGTTGACCCACTGGAAGTAGTCTTCTCCGTTGGGGTTTGCCACCCTCTTGAAAGCTTTCAGAACATCTTTGGACAGGTACCCCATCGCCTTTTCAGCATTGGGACTGAAGCCGAGGCCTGCGCCAATGTCCCGAAACCCAGGAGCGCGCTCGTAAATGGTGAAGGGGACTTTGCGTTCGCGGAGGCCGAGGCCGAGGGTGATGCCGGTTATACCAGCCCCGATGATGGCGACGCGGACGTCCTTGGTAGTGGCGCTGGGCATGTTTGGTTGTTACTGACGGTGTGGCAGATGATTGGGCAAACACAAAGCTTCAAGGTTGACGTCGAGACGGCTCTTCGGAAGTAAAGCAGATGAGCTCAATAGCCAGATATGGGGAAGGAAGGATGACGAGGCAGGTGGCTAAAAGGTGTTTTCGGCAACGAGGTGGGGATATATGTACCGGAGTCCCGATGGAATGCACCTCAGTCAGCCACGCAGCCCGTCGCACCGGACTTTTGGCCGGTGCCCGAGCTGTATCCCTTGCGCAGTAGGTAGATGGCGTCTTGCGAGTCGTGGACGCTGGAAAGCTCTGAACTTCAAGCAGAAATACACCCCGGTTGTTTGCTGTCTTCCATTCCTTTCCAGGACGAAGACATTGTCAAGGGTGAAAAAGGTAGCAAGATGACACTGATCAAAGCCTCGCAACAGCCTCAGACGCCGAAAAAGGAAAAGGTTCTCCTTACCGGTAAGCGTGCTCACTCCTCTTGTTAAGTTTCATGTGGGAGTTGACCATCCAACCAGGCGGCACTGGCTTCGTGGCCTCCCACGTCCTCGACTCCCTGGCAACCAACGGCCACCCTGTTGTCGTCACCGTCCGCTCAGAAGAAAAAGGCAACCGGCTCCTCCAATCCCTCTCTCACTTCGGCGCCTCCAACCAAGTCCAATACGCCATCGTCCCCGACATCTCCACCAAAAACGCCTTCGATCCCATCCTCCACGACCACCGCTTCACCTACGTAATCCACACCGCATCCCCCTATCAACTCTCCTTCGCCGACCCCGTCAACGACTGCCTCAACCCTGCCATCAAGGGCACCACCTACCTCCTCGACTCCATCCACCGCCTCTGCCCCTCGGTCACCCGCGTGGTCATCACCTCCTCCAGCGCCGCTATCCTCAACCCGCCCAACCACCGCGATGTCTACGATGAGTCCTCCTGGTCAGATGTGAGCTGGGAGCAGGCCATGCAGCCAGAGCACACCTACCGTGCCAGCAAGAAATTCGCCGAGCAGGCTGCCTGGTCTTTTCTCGAGGAGCACAACCCGCGGTTCACCATCGCGACGATCAACAACACCTATACTTTTGGTCCGCTCTCGCGATCGCTGGCGAATTCGGCAAAGTTTAGCTCGGCAGAGGTGAACACCTCCAACCGCCGGATTTGGGATCTGATTCATGGCAAGTGGCGAAACCCAGATGGATCGGCGTGCATCCCGTCCACGGCGCCGGTGTTTACATTTGTGGACGTGAGGGACGTGGCGGATGCGCACCTGGCGGCTCTGACGGCGCCGGGACAGAGATATTACACTGTAGGAGGGTTCTTTTCCAACTATCAGATTGCAAGAATCGTGGACGAAGAGTTCAAGGGAGTGCTGGGGGATGATGTGCTCCCGGATCTGAAAGGGCAAGCAGATGATTTTGAGGAAGACAAGCACTGGAAGTTTGATGTGAGTAGGAGTGAGAAGGAGTTGGGGATACGATATAGGGGGTTGAGGGAGAGTGTGAGGGATGCCGTGGTGAGTATGCTGGAGTTTGAAAAGGGGACGGCTTTCAACTAGGAGTATCTGAGGTGGATCCTTTTGTTCATAGAGTTGAACCAGCCTGCTAGTGATAACCAAAGCTGTTTGCCTGTCGATTGTCTTGTTATTCTCTTTCCTTGAGCTTCAACTCAAGACATCATCATGTACCTAAAATCAAATGATCTGCCGTTGATTCCAGTGACAGAGAAAAAAGGTGCGATATCAATCCTTTCTCAGCAAGGATCCGCTCCAGGATCGGGCGCGGAGTCTAGACACCTTAGGTAGGTACCCTTTGGTTGACAGTTGATCGCGACCAAAGTTGACCACTTGTCATGTCCCTAAAGCCAGAGGCGGTGCGACCCCCTTTCCTTTTCCTTCGGAAGCTCGAGCATCGGGCATTGGCCCATCGGTAAGCCACTCAGAGCTTGTCTCGATCGTGTCATCTTCACCACGGCAAAGGGTGGTCGCACAGACAAACAACTGGACGATCTCCGTCAGTTGACTGTTGAGTAATACTGCAGCTGCACACAAACCACCCTAGTGATGATGTTGGTTCTGACGAGCGGCGAGTCCGAAGAGGATCATGATCGACTTGAATGTCTGGAACATGTCTGTAGAAAGCGATATCAAAACAGGTTGCCTTGCCGCAAAGTTGGCCATACGGAGCGGCCCAGTTCGCTTCCAGATGACGGTATTCCATGTTTCCCAAGTGGAAGTGGGGGACGGGATGGTGGTGTGCGGTCGAGTGCAGTGCACATGCTGCGCCGTAGGCTGGCATCTGCGTGCAAGTGGTAATTAAGATGCGGAGACAAGATGCCAGCTCGGTTGGGCCATTGACGGTACCGCGCCTACCTAGACAAGGTACCTTGGGCGAACCAAATTGACATCTGGGCGATGGTGAGTGTGGGATATTGTAGCTATCGGATGGTATTATATGTGGGCCTGAGATGAGGATGGACGACAAAGAAGCCCTCTGCTGAGAAACGGCCTGCCGATATTGGCATTCGAGGCGCCTCGCCTACGGATAAAGCGAGGGGATGCAAGAACGATGTGATGGGGGAAGAACCTGAAACAAGTCTAGCTGGGTGGATATCTCCGACACCTCCCCCGCTGTGCGTTGGAAGGTGGGGGTGGGGACGAGACAGGTCAAAACCAAACGAGAGAAAACAAAGCCAGGGATTCCGCCAGTTTTGTAAAAACTGTGGCCCTGACCGGACCCAGAGCCGTTGGAAGCTTGTCTTTTGATAACCCCACCTCGGTTTTATGCCTGCTAGGATAGATGAAGAAGTTGATGCGTACGCATGTCCTTTTCCATCATCAACTAGTTTCCTGTGCCAAAGTTCCTCCTCTGCCTTGTTCTTGGTTCTCGTCGATGGCCTCAGGGCCAAGCACCTGCGCACCCCCAAGTACGGCGGCACGGACCCTTCGGTGGCACGCAACTTTTCGACGGCGTGCGCCGCGTGTCAGAGCACCGGGAGGGGGATATATGCTGCATGCGGTTTGGCGAGGTGTCTAGTAGGATCACTTGCGCCTCTCATATAGAAAACCGTCGTCTGGCCGGTCCACCCTGTACGCCGGAGCACCATCCATTCATTCATTCATCCATCCATCCATCCATCCATCCATCCCTCCTACTCCTCCTCCTCCTCCTCCACTGCCAGATGTCATCGGGTTGTAATGTTGGAAAGCGGCGGAAATTACGACGTTGCAGCCATGAGTGACATCCTGGATCACGGATTGGGCGAACAACTGGCAGCGGCCCTGCTCACTTGGGGTGGGGAACAGGACCAGGAGGCGAGACGGCAACCGAGAACGCAACCAGATCATCATAACGAGCCCGGTGCTGATGCCCGCTCAGATTCCAGTTTTGACTCTGCCTCTGACTCTGGCTCTCTCACTCCTCTGGCCCGTCATCATGTTTACTTCCACAAACTGATGCGCTTCGCCGACGACAGCACCTGGAGCAAGACAGCCCTGGGCCCCCACAGGCGCGATATTAATGTCAACCTGGAGGACGGCAACGACCGTGACGACAACCTGGATGCTACCGATTCCGATAGCACCTTCACCACCCAACCAGCCAAGAGCATCAATATCTGTGCCCGTTATTGCCAGCACAGGGTAGAGACCATGGAGAACCCACCGCTGCCCCCACAAAACTGGGACAAGGAATTGCCGCCAACACCCTTCGATACAACCCCTACCTCATCATCATCACATCCCCAGATGTCTTGCAGGATATCAACCTTCCCGTTCTCGCATCCATGTGACATACCAGAGTTGATACTTGATCCGGATGAGGACCATCTTCACACCGAACCCAGCCCGCTGCCATCCGGGCTCGCCACCCCCAGCGTGGTCAACGACATCTTCCAACCTCTTAGCCAGACTGCTTCCCCTGATCTCGAGTTTGGTCCCTTCACTCCACTCGCCCTCGAGGCGGATCCTCAGCACTCCATGGAACAGCAGCAGCAGTCCAGAAAGATGTCCATCAAGACCATGGTCTCGGACGTATCAGACGGTCTCGGTATTATTGAAGAAGAAGACGACGTCAACACCGACGGCGTGTCTATGCTCACTTCGACAGAGGCCTCTTTTGGTGGAGCCGCTGGCGGAGAATCCAGCATAGATCGGTTTGGGAGGGTAGATTCAAGGGCCTACCAACCCCAAGCATGGAGCATCAGTTCATCGGCCGGTAGCACCGGGTCGAGCGAGTGGCGCCCCAGCATCAAGAGCTCACGAAAGTCGGTAACCCTCCTCTCGCGCATGCGCGGACGCCACTCGGTAGTGCAGGAGGAGCCTTTGGAAAAACGGTCGCTGACTCCGTACGAGCTCAGTGCTCCAGCACCAAGACAGGACGACGACAACTGCGTCGACATGCCGCCCCCGCCGACTGGATCATCGCTGCCTACCATTCACAGTCGCACCGAGATCACCTCGACGACCAACCCTCGGTTCTTTGGCAGAATTCCGTGGTTGACAAGTGATTCGCAGCCCGAGAAGCAGGGGACCGTGTTTGGTGTTGATTTGAATTCGAGCATCAAACTGGCGCCCATGAAGATTCGGGTGTCACATCGGGGAAGGGGGTCATCGTACCGGACATATCCGCTAGGCGTTTACAAGTGCTGCGAGTTCATTCGCAAAGAGGGTACCTTATGTTTCCCACCTTTTGCGTTGCGAGGACTGAATGACACTGACATTGGATGCTTTGCAGGCAACAAAGCCGGCAGAGCTTTTTGCTCTCCCGGCAACGCCTTCCACGTGGCACAGCTCAAAGAAATCTTCAACACAGGACCGACTTACGGCGAGAATTTCCAGTTTGAAGGTACCGACTACACGGTCCACGATGCCGCGCGTTTGATTCTGTTATACCTTGAGGAACTGCCCAAACCTCTCATCACGTCATCAGTTGTAAGGTGTTGGGTGTTGCTGGCCCGCCAAGAGGGAGCCATCGAGCCGCCTTGTCCACGGGTCGAAACCGGACTCGACTTTTGGACCGAAGCCCTCAGCCGTCTGCCAACCGCGTCCCGCAATCTCGTCAAGCACCTACTCGCCATATTTGCCGAGGTCTTGCTGCAAACGACGGGAAACGTCACGGAGGCAGATTCACGGCATTTTGCCTCGGCAGTCTCGCGGGCACTGTTCCATCAGGACACCGACGCCAGTGTCGTGGCTGGTGGTGCTCCCACAGCCAGCAAGAAGAAGACCAATAAAAGGAGCGTCCACCCAACGCTGGCTCTTGCTTTCTTGATCAAGAAGCGAGGAGAATATTCGGCGACGTTGGGCAAGGCTACAAATATGGGTACCAAGAGAGACACCCAGTTTTTGCCCACCACGAAGGAAATCATGCAATGGAAGGGATAGAGGGAGATATGATGGCGTGTTCAAAAGCTACGGGGACACCGGTTCAAAGGTGGGCATCATGGCCTAGGTAGGTAGGATGTGGACGGACAGGAGATGTGAACGGATAAACTGGCACGCGCGTTGGTTGAGATACCCCTTTTGCTTTCTTGCTCTTCTTGCCATTTTTATTGCATTTTAGTCTTTCAAGTGTTGGAGGGGGTTGCCTACACATCACATCTATCATCATCTTCACACAATCATCATTTTGCGGCGTTTTCTTTGTTATTTCCGGGAATGGATGAGCCCAATGTACACCTGGATTCTACATGTCGAAGCGGATAGTCATTTGTTAATGTTGGTACCTATAGTCTGGGTTGAAAAAGGGTCAAGTGATCGGATGGAAGAAGGTTGACTGGGGAATTGTCACGATATCAAAATATCATCTAATGCTGCTGTCCATTATTCTCTGATTTTTCTGATCAAGCTTGTGACAAGAATATGCTGTTAGTTTGCCATTTATATGGACGTGAAAGCGAGATTTCATAGAAGGTCGCCGGCAAATCTGATCTACCATACCTCTCATCAACGTCATTTAGTTCTGTTGTCGATCAACTTGGGGTACATGGCCCAGCTCTATATGGCCTGCATTGCATGGTTATGCATGAAATACACATGGAGCTATCCCAGAAAGGGACAACTTTCGATGGTGGCATAAGAATTCAAGAAGCTAGCAAAAATGGACACGACTGAGGTTAAAAGAGTACAGCGAGAGCAAAACGGGGAAACACTCGGTTTCCTCAGTGTTGTTTCTCTAGAGGATCAGTTGCTCTTGACCGTCCGTCTGGGCGTGCTATTCAAAACGGGGGCTGCCAACACTCCATTTTGATCCATTCAATTACACATGTGCTTGGGTGAAAGACAGTGCCATTTACCTCAGGAAGGAACAAGGCTACCAAGTATTGGGATCTTCAAGCCACTATCTATTAATAGTTGGTAAGCAATCCTGGTGAACAGCATAAGACACGCCTCCTCTCGGTGGTCCACGGCCTCCAACATTGAACCACACCATTAGGTTTACGCTCTTACACTGTCACGGCTGTATATTCCGCAGGTCATACACCATAAATGCAAAGACAAACAACTAATTCTACCATGAGAGATAGAAGCCCCGAAAAAAATAATGTGATAGCTCACCAGTCAACACCCCCTAGAAAGGTGATTTACCCGCAGTAAAGCTATTCTTTTCTATATTTACATTGGTGATTCGACCGCGTCGTTGATACTACATAACCAGCTAGTTAGTATCGAGCAACGGAATCGCAGGGTCTGGAGCAAATTGTTCCAGTACCTGTAGGTCCCAAGTTTTGCCTGTTGATCTGAAGTTAGCTACGCAGTTCTATTGAAACGGGAACGTCTCGAAACGGAGAAAACAGAGGGATCGGAGGTGCTTACTGAGGTTGAGCCATTTTGAGTTGTTGACATATGCTCCAGAAAAGGTGATTATATGGGCAGGTGGGCTTGGGAAGGGGGGACCTGCTTGGTGATGTTGTCGTTAGCGGCGAGGTGTGGGAGGTATTTGGATAGCAGCTTCACTGTTATGCTGGGCAGAAACTCGACTGATGAGAGCATATCCAGCAGATAGCCGTAGCATAAATCGATAACAGTAAAGGATTTTTTTTTTGGCACGGATAGATATGTCTGATAGCTAGTGTGCTGCTGTGTTACCTCCGAATCCTCCGAGTGACTCTACATTTCAACTCTCGTACAAGCAGTGGGTGAACATCACTACGTATTGGTGGTATAAGCTTCAAACTTACTTGGTGCTTTTGTAACAAAGCATAGCCTAAACTAGACAGTAGAGGTGATCATAACGTAAGAACAAAGGCAAACAAAAGAATCAGAGCCATCCAAGATGGGGTTCTAGCCAACCTGCATTGCACAGGCTTCTTCCAGGCACCCATGTTCAACAAGTGCTAGGACTCAACATCTTCCAGGCCTAATAAATGGATGGATATGTTCTAGAAACATCTATCGGTCATCATGGCTCATGCCCGTCTCTGATTCGATGGGGCCGGACATGTTCGGACTCGTAGGACTATCGACCGTCATGGTAGTGTAACCCTGGCAAAGCGCCGAACTTGCAGGTATGACACTCATCACCATCTGAATGGAGGCTCAACGGTTCCACGTTGAGTATATATATCTATATGGCAAGCTCAGCTCAAACCCGTCTCGCACAACTTACAACATCCCTCGTTTAAACATGTCCAACGCTGTCGAAACTGAAGGAACCCTTTACAGGGGCTCATGTCACTGCGGCTTTGCCAAGTACACCGTCCGGCTAGACTTCACCAAACCACCTCCGTCTCTCCATGGAGCAAACGCCACCAGATGCAACTGTCGCGTCTGCTTCAAAATGGGCACCATGCTCACAGACCCCGGGGACGACGGGTCGTCGACATTTACCCTCCTGACACCAGGAGAGAAAGATCTCGGCATGTACGCATTCGACACAGAGCGGGTGAGGTGGTTCTTCTGCCCCAAGTGCAGCATCACTCTCTACAACAGGGTGCATGGGGTGTTTGAGGGGGTCGAGGTGCGCACGTTTAGGGTAAATGTGCTGACGTTGGATGAGAGGGCGGATGGGTCGCCGATGGAAGATCTGAAGAATCTCAAGATCAAGTACTGGGATTTCAAGGGAGTAGAGTTGCCCGAAGCGCCTCTTGATGAACCTGTCAATGGAGGAGTGTGGTGAGGGTTGGGGCACTGTGTACCCGCAGCTTACCTAGTTAGAAATGATTGGCCAATGATGCCAAGCTGACTCCATACTTCCAGCTCAATGCGCGCGGGGCAAGCAAGATGCGCCCTGTGATGTTGGGACCTAATTATTTTTGGGGAGCTGGTGTACTGACTCCTCTGCCGAATCCCCAGTCCAGCAAGTAATCGACCATGGCCAAGAGCGTGAACAAGGCAAAGAAGAGAAAGCAGAATGCCCAGGCCGACGGGCCGAACAAGGCCGCAAAGACAGCGGCAGTAGCGGCGGCGACAGCCCGGACAACACCCCCCGACAGCGACGGCGACGGCCCATCTCCCGGCTCGGCGCTCGAGCCCAGGACCTTGCAGACGGTCATCTCGCACGAGGAACTCGACATGGCCATCGACACCCTCAAGACGATTGCCCAGTACCCGAACCTGATCAAGTCCAAGCAATGCAAGGACCTGCGTGTCGCCGTCTACGATTTCCGCCAGGCCTCGGCCATCGATGCTGGAGCGAACGCCAGCCTGACGGCCCGCATCACAGCAGCCCTCGCCGATGAGCGATACACAGATGTGAGGATCCTGCTTGCCGAGATGAGAATCCGGGAGCAAGAGCCAAAGCTTGGTGCCCTATGTCGATGGGTGCGAGATCTGGACGTCATCAGCGGCCTGTCTACGATACCCGGTGGTGGCGATGGCACGGCTATCCGGCGCAGCGAACGGGACGAGCAACGCCTGCGGGTCATCGACGCCATCCTCCGTGTCACCGGTCCCGTCGATACCAATCCAAACGCCGTGCCAATCTCGTGCAATCCGGGCATTGCTCTCCAAGAGATCTGGGACCTCCGCCCCTCCACACCCTCGGAACAGGTATACGCCTCGGTGCTGGACAAAACAATCTTCGAGTCGGCGCCGCCTACATTGGTCACCGGTCTCCGGGTCATTGAGACAACACCAGGTCCCCTTCGCAAGCCTCCCAATCACCATGATGCCTTGCTCTACACCACAGCTCCGAACACCATACCTCTTGCCACCGAACGGGCCCCTGCCACATACCAACCTCACCCAGTTGTCCCTGGTCTTGGTGTAATTCGAAACGTCCTTTCTCCCGAAGAATGCAAGGCCATAATCGCGGCTGGTGAGACGGTCAACTTTCTCCCCGATGCCCCGATGCGGGAAGACGGTGATGTGAGCATTCTGGCGCACAACTTCTACTGGGTTGCAGACAAACTTTTCCACGACACTCTCTGGTCACGCGTGGCGCCCCATGTTCCGGCCTCGGTGAACGGACGCCTAGCACGTGGGCTCAACCGTCGTTTCCGAGTGTATCGCTACGTCCCAGGCGCCGAGTATCGCGCGCACATTGATGGCGCTTGGCCTCCTTCCGATGTCCTCCCCGACGACACCTACGTCTATGATGCCTCGCCCCCCGAAAAGAAGCAAAGTTCGCTGTTTACCTTCTTGATATACCTGAACGACGAGTTCGAGGGCGGAGAAACTACCTACTTTGTGCCGGCAGCGCGAGAGGGCGTGCTCAATGCCTACCCCATCCGGCCCGTGATGGGCAATGTTGCCTTGTTTCCTCACGGAGATCCCAGAGGAGCGTTGCTACATGAGGGAACTGGAGTGAGGAAGGGGGCCAAGTACGTGATTCGGACAGAGGTGGAATACGATGTTGAGCCCAGCGAGTAAAGCAGGAGGTGAGTATCGGAGGGCCAGCATGCGCTCCGGACTCGAACACGAACGACAAAAACGACTGGCTTGGAGCACACTTCGCTTCAGCGTCCGCATCTTCAAACTTGGTGCGCATTGCCCACGTTGGTTTTAACCGCCTTGCACGCCTTGCCCATCTGCCACGATACGCAGCTTGACTGGACTGGTGCAGGAGGCTGCTCGCTGATTGGGCCAAGAGAGCGGCGTTATGGATTGTCGTGGCGGCTGTCCTGACGGTCGTACCTGCCAAGCCTAACATGAGTTGGGCACCAGAATGGAGACATGGAACGCGCAAGCTGGCGGAGTCGGCTTGTTCAATGCCGAACAGCGTTTTCACTCGGTCTTGCTGGCAAGGGTTCGAGCCTGTATGGTAGCTGGCGGTCGATGAGAATGCTTGTCAAGCGTATAGATGTGCAGCTTGAAAGCCTTGATAGCCCAAGAGAGACCCAAACAAACAACAACGGCTGTTGGCTGCCCAAGTGGCATGCTTCAGTTTGACTCCATCAACTACTTATATCGTTTGCATCCGAGTACATACATTGCACCGTTTTGGAGTTTTGGGGGGCATCTCCACCTCAAACATACATGCTTGTTGTGACGTCTCGAGGTGTTAGCACCCTCGCCGCGGTCTCCAATACCACCATCATGTCTACCTCTACGGTCGAGAAACGATATCTACATAGCACGAGCTACAGCGAAGCTGTAGTGTCGGACAACTACTCATTCTCGTATGTGCCACTATTTGCTCCATTCCTCCCAGCCAAGGTTCAGATCTAACACGAACCAGGCCATTCAGCAGCCCCCTCACCAGCCTGAAGTTTCGAAACGGCATGTGCTTGACTGCACATCGAGAGTTCCTCATCCAGAGCCCCAAGCTGGTCTCACTCATCACTCGTCACGATTCCTTCCCCGAAACCATCAGCCTTCCAGAGGTTTCTTACGCTGCTGGCCAGATCCTGGTTGCCCACCTCTACAGCGGCCGCTGGACGGAGCTGGCATGGTTCGGGCCTGATAGCGGCGGCCTCGAGGATATCGCCAGATTGGAAACAGCCCTCGAGGTCTACCTGGCCGCCAGGAAATACGAACTCTGCAGTCTCGAGGCTCTCGCTCAGATCCACATTGAGCAAGACGCAGCCAGGCTGGATATCTTTACTGTTATCGATGTCGTCAAGAGAGTGTATCCCGTGCCTGACAACAACGACACTTGGTTCCAGCAGCATATCAAATCCCGCATCAAGGCCGATTTTGACAAGCCGGACGCTGCTCTGCTGGCCAGGCTGGATACCAACTTTGCTGATGAGTCCTCTATCATCAAGCTGGTCTTGAAAGGCATGCTCGAGGCCTATCGGGAAAAGACTGAGGCTCTGGCCCAACAGGCTGCAGCGTTGAAGAGACCTTGCACACCATCTAGTGACGGGTCTTTTGAGGAGGTTGAGTGCCCATCGCTGCGGACTGTGGTTGAGGATAAAGCTGTTGTCTGTAGCAAGGAGGACAGCCAATCCACATCTGCCCCCACGGCACCGCCTGCTTTGCTACCTACCGAGGTGGCCGTCGAGGTCTCAACAACACATGCCAATCCACTGCTCGATAAGTCTGTTTACGAGATTGCACCTGAGGCATTACATGCGACTGAAGAGCCGACAGTGCCGAATGTTACTCCCGTGCCTGAGCCAGAGCTTGAGGCGCAAGTATCGGACCACAACGGCAACAGCAGCGGCGCCACGACAACAGGGATCAAACTGAAGAAGTGCAAACACAAGTCGACCAAGGCGCGCTGGGAGTGCAAGGCGTGCGGAAGGTGCACCAGACCCTCATGTGTGTCATGCAAGTGCAGGATGTGCACGGCTAAATGTCGTGAGGAAAACCATCGAGCTGTTTCTGACCCAGTGGTTGAAGAGGAGGTTTTCCCTGAGGTGGTGCCTGAGGTCGTTGTGGCAGAGCCCGCTCCAGTCCAGGCGGAGGATGATGGCTGGGATTTTGCGGGCACAAGTAGTAAGACCATTGCGAGGAATGCCCAGATCGATGCGGCGGCGGCGGCGGCGGTGGTGGTGGTGGCGGAACCAGAGCCTGAACCAAAGCCCGAACCGACGCCTGTGCCGGAACCACAGCCCATTGTCGAAGATATTCCGCGAGACTCTCTTGATATCGCCAATAACGACAGGAAAAATGAGGCGAAGAAGGGGAAGCAGAAGGCTGTGGTTCGCCCAGAGACTGAACCCGTGATGCGCGAGGTTGAGCCAATCCCCCTGATGGAACCGGCTGCAGGACCAAAATCGAAGCCACCGATGGAGGACAACCCCTGGGCGTTTCCATCGACAAAGTTCACGAAAAAGAAGGCAAAGGCCGTCGTCGGCACTGGATCGGAACCTGTAAGTGAGACCGGGAACGCCCAGCTCATCGCCGAGATTGAGCGTGGTTTTCCTCAGGGTGGGTGGGACTTTTGGGGAACGTCAAAAAAGCGATAGGTTAGCTTCTAATATGTGATGTGATGGCAGGTGGTTAGATTGTCATTGATCTTCTCAAGTATTATAGTTTGTTTCCAGTTCCCTCCTCGCCATGTTCACTTCTCGATAATCCCTCCCCTTAGAAAATCCATCCAACGTCGCAAATAACAGCGTCGAAACAATCCCCACCACCGACACAGCAGTAGCGTACCTAGTCATCCCACTGCTGCACAGTATACTCATTTCTCGGGTGTGATTTGAGAAACAGCGCGAGCAACGTATTCCACAGCATCACAACCCCGACCACTCCCGCGATCCCAACACCTTTCTTGCAAAGCCCCACGACAGCGACGATGTATTTTCTTGCTCTCCCCTCTTTTCGGGTGACACCCTCTTCCTCTTCCACCGCCATCCTTCTCTCCCCCTCTGTCAGATACCACACCTCCGTCTCCCCGGCAGAGTAATAATACCATCAAATAATTGAACAACCATCTCCACCCCCGCAGCCCATGACGTCCGTCCATACTGCTGTAAATCCCACTCTGTGGGCGCGGGCCGAACCCATCGTCAGCCATTTTGTGACGCTCGAGACCGGGAGGTCGGCGATTGATCTTGATGATAAGATAATGAATTTTGAGCAGGGATGGAAAAAAATGAAGCTCCACAGCAGAGAGGGCTGGTTGTTCTGGGTAAAATGCAAATGCAAAAGTGAAGGTCGTGCCCGGAATCGAACCGGGGTTGCCGGAATTGTCCGATGCTATCAGAATCCGGAGTGATAACCGCTACACTACACAACCGACGGTTGTATCTGTCCAGTCCAGAAGGAATGTGACCCTTTGCTGTCCACACTAAACAATTGTCATGCATGTTTTCTGGATCGCCACTTTCACATTGAAGAAGCCGCAATGATTACTCTTTACCTGACATATCACTACCTGGTATCCTTTACCGAGTCTCCTGTGTGTCTGGAATCCCACCCTCACCACCCCCCTCCTCGTCTCTTTCTTCCTCTTCCTGTTCCTCGTCCTCCTCGCTCTCCTCCTCAATATCCACCATCCCAATCGGCACAGCCTGCACCGCCGTACCCGTCCTCTTACTCCCGATCAACATCTTGTACGCCTCCACCACCTCAGGAAACACGTCCTGCTTCCGAAAGAATTCCGACTGCGCCCTCATCTCCACCTCCAGCGTATCCTCCGCCCCCCTGGACGTCTGTGAAAGCAAAACCTGGCTACCCCCAATACTCTGACTGCCTCCCATCACAGCCGGACTACTCCCTGTTCTGTGCGACGCAGAGGCAACACCGGAATACCTAGGAAAATGCATCCCCAACGCCACCACACTCTCCGGCCCGGTGAGTCCCCGACAGATGTGCAGCACCGCCCCGGAGAGAGCGGGACACTCCTTCTCAAACACCTTTTGGTGTCTCAACTCCCGCAGCAAACTGCTCCGTATCAAGTGTTGGTTGATCTCCAGTATTGCCTTCAGCGCGTTCAACCGTGTGCCCAAACTAGCGGGCCAGACGGAGGCGGCGTGGATGTACCTGATGTTGGTCTGCACGCCGCGGGCGGTCATGATGGCTTCGAGGTCGGAGGGGGATATCGTGTCGAGGGATAGGGGGCGGAAGGCGGATTTGACGGCTGTGACGATCGCGTCAAAGGCAACGGTTTGGTCGGGGACCGGGGTGTTGAGCTCGTCGAAGCGGGCGGAGAGGTAAGAGGCAGTTTTGCGGCGGCAGGGTTTTCCCGAGGTGACGAGGTGGGAGATGAGCTGGCGGACTTCACGGTCGGAGAGGACGGTGCTGAGGATTGTGCGACAGTCTTGGATGGGCAGCTGGGAGGCGACGGTAGGGAGGCCCATGATGGCGGAGGGGGTGAGTTTGGAGGTTGCTTTTGGTTTCATTTTGAGTCGGTTGGGGATAAGGGCACTGGTGGTTGGGATGAGGGTGAGGGGGGAGGAGAAACCTGGGTCGGTTTGTGTGCGCTGTCGCTTCGCGGCGCTCTTGCTCTTGCTAGGTGTCCGTGGGGTTGGGGCATGGATGCCGTCGCCTTTACCGTTGTCGTCGCCGTCGCCGCCGCCGTCGTCCTGGAGTCGCTTCATGGTGCCGGGCTGATGGGGGATGGGTCTCAAGGGTATCAGCATCTCAATGCGGGACCCAAACAACCGGGCAAAGTGTCACCGCTGCCGCTGCCCGCAAGGGAAGGTGAACAAGGCAAGTGCCTGCCTACAAAAGATGCACACCAGTGCTGGAGATTTAAGCTTCACCGGACCCCCACCGCATTCTGCCCCGGCCAAGGTTCGACATCAAGACATGACTGGAAACGAAACTGCGTGTACTGTCACCATGAACGCCCAAGGTGTGTCGTCATCAACAGACCGCTGCCTTATATTTGCGGCCACAAAATTATGCAGGATTAGAATAATTAATTACAGGAAGAAACTACCACACCGTCACCGCAACCCGTTCCCAACCCACCCAAAAAATCAAGTCTAGTTGGAGATCTTGCAGAGCTTGCCGACCTGGGTGGTTAACCAGCTGGGCTGGCCCTGGATGGTCCACCTCTCGGCACCGACGGCAGTGGGAGCCCAGAAGAGATCGTTGGGGTCGACCTCGCGCTTGATGCTGAGCAGGCGCTGGTAGTTGGTGCCAAAGAAGGCCTCGCCAAAGTTGGGCTCCATGACATCGCCCTCGTTGCCGTAGCCACCGGGGCCCCAGGCACGGAGACGCTCCATCCAGTCGTGGGTAATCTTGTTGTTGGTGGCGGCCAGCTCGGGCTCGGGGGTGCCAGGGGCCCAGCCGGCGCCCATGATGGCGAACCAGATGGCGTCGCGCCAGTGGGAGTTGGCGGCCGAGTTGGGAGTGCCCTCGGTCTGGCGGGGGTTCATGTTGTACTGGATGAGCGCGGAGCCCTCCTCGACAATGGCGCGCATCTCGTCGAATAAGGCGTCGCGGTTGGTCGAGTTGTTCCAGACGCTGGCGGGGAACATGCGGGAGGCGGTGCGCATGTTGCTGTTGGCCACGGACTCGGCAGGGAAGTACTGGGTCCAGACGTCATAGAGGTTGTCCTTCTCGAAGAAGTTGGGGGTGAAGGCGAGACCCATGGCAGTCCACTCATTGAGGAGAGGCTGGACGTGAACCTTGAACTGGGCGAGGGTCATGTTGGGCATCATGAAGGGGTGGAAGGTCCAGCTGTAGCCACCGGCGGCGGTGAATAGAGGGAAGACGGTGGAGTAGCCATAGACGCCCTGGGCGGCATAGTCGGGGAACTTGCGCCAGTAGGCATACATGGCCTGCCAGAAGACGGCGATGCTGTTCTCGGACTCGGGGCCGGCGTTGAGGGTCATGGAGAAACCAGCAAACTTCTGCTTGGGGTGGACCTTGACGGTGATGGAGGTGACGACACCGAAAGTGCCCCCGCCGCCGCCACGGAGAGCCCAGAACAGGTCGGTGTTCTTGGTCTCGGTGGCAGTAACGAAGCGGCCGTTGGGGAGGACGACATCGATGCTGAGGACCTGGTCGGAACCGAGACCATACTTGCTGCTCAGGGGCGAGTGGCCACCACCAGCAAGGTAACCACCGGCAACACCAACACCGGGGCACTCACCACCGACAGCGGTGACACCGAGGCTGTTGGCGGCCGCATAGAGCTCACCAACCTGGACACCGGCACCGAGCTTGAGGGCAGGGCCATTGTAGGAAGGGCTGCGGAACGACTTGACATACTTGATGTCCTTGAGGTTGTGGGTCCAGATCGAGAGGGCACCGGCGCCAGTCGACTTACCAAGGAAGTCGTGACCCGTGTTATGGACGACAAGACGGAGGTTCTGGTTGCGGGCAAAGTTGACGGCAAGCTGAACTTGATAGACGCTGTGGATCTTCACAGAGTAGGAGGGGAAGCTGCCCATCTCGCAGGTGCCGGTCTGGCCGTTCTGGGGCATGCACGTCTCGCCCTGGTAGAGGGGGGACATGACCGAGGTGGGATCACTCGCGTGAAGAGCAGACTGAGCCCAGTTGGCAAGCACATATTGGCACTTGGCAGCATTGTAGACGCCGCTATTGGGGTAGCAGACGGCACCGATGGGGACAGTCTCGATGAGGGCGCCACCGGTCAGGAGGTTGAAGACGGTCCAGCTCAGACGGGATGGCCAGGCACGGTCACCGGGGAACACCTTGCAGTCGCCGACCTGGAAGCCCCTTGAGAAGCTTCTCTTGGTGGTTACGCCGGAGACGTCTTCGTCGAAGGTGAAGAGATTGATGTCGCTGAGGTCAAGAGCGGTAAGGTTGGCGAGGACGGCATCGGTCAACAGCAGGACCTCACCGGCATCCCCAACCACCTCGACCTCGGCAGCCGGGGCGACGGTGGTCTCGTTGGCAGCTACAAGACAGTCAGCAACCAAGGCAACCTAGCGTAACCAACATCTACCCCCGGCGGATAGGGTGATATTGAGGCATCCTAGCTTCCACGTTGGAGCAGCATGGCATCGTGGGAAAGAAATATTGGCTGGACATACAAAGGACAGACCCGTCTTCGGCGAGAATGGTTGGCTCTGTCTGGGCCAAACCGAGGCGAGCAAATGTACCCGCAAGGAGCAGGGCGCGGGAGAGGGATACAGCAATCATGGTTGTCAAAAGTTGATCCAATGATGCTGGTGAGAGGAGCGGGAGGGAGTGAGGTTCACGACATCAAGAACTGCGATCTAGCAAAGGTTATGTAGCCCGCAGATCCGGGAGGTGCCGGATTGCTGCCCCCCTTTCAAAATTGCGTTTGCCCCCTCGATACCCAGCAGAAGAAGAGCCTGCTCGGATCAGTTGCCGAATCCCTATCAATCCTAGCATGAACTGGTGGTGTTGGTGGCAGGGACCCAGGCAGTTCACAACATGTCCGCGACCAGCATCCCGGGCTGCCATGCGGCGGTGTGGGGTCTAGAGTGAATTGCGACGCCTGCCCTCGTAAGAGCCAGTTGAGGTGACGGGAGAAATGGCATCATTACCGATGACATGGTAATTTACACCCCAGGCAAGTGTGGAAAGATGGATAGGTATGGAAATTGTATTCCTGCCGTTCCGGATTGGCTGGACAGGTCTTGCGGCGCGTGGCACGTGGGCATGATATGATGGTGGAAGGACGTTGTAGTATGGAGAGGGGCATTGTTGTGTTACCATGATGTTTATTACCTGTACACTGCGACAATACAAAATACTTGAAGTTTCTAGACCCCGGTATAGCATCTCTGGACCTTTTTGTTTTGGGGGGGGAACGCGGGGCCCTTCGGGGAGCAGAGGTTCATCCGGTGTTGCGGGAGGTGGGATAAACGAGACGAAAGCGGGGGAAAATGTTACCCTTCTGTGCGCTCGCCGGGACCGGCGCTTCGCCCGGTCTTCTCTTAGCACGGATTCAGTGGGTTCAAGGGGAGTCCGTGGGGTCCGGAGCGAAAATCGACAATCCCTTCTGGAACTCTCAAAGCCAGAACCATCTTCCCCACCGTCGTCGCCGGCAGAAATGAGGGCCTATGAGGAGGGTTCGTTTGTAAAAAGGACACGGGCATTCGGATATAAATACCTTATGAATCATCGTGACTACGTACATACCGACATACATATCACCGACCGACCACCTGGTTAAATCCTCGTCGTTTACCGCATGGCTGCATCCCAGATCTAGCCACCAAGCCACTGTTGCCCCCTTTTCCTCTTGCCTTTAGACACGGCCGCCTAAACTGCTGGAATTTGCGATTCCTCAGCAGATCAAAAAACGTGTTTGCCGTTGCCTCAACTAATGCAAGCTAAAACAGACTAAGGACTCTTTGGGCTTGCCAAGTCACTCGGTCAGTCCTTAGCCCGGCATTATCCTGCAACGTCAAGCTGCCCTGGCAGTTACTGTGGAGAAAGGCACTCTTGCAAACCCGAGGGACTGTTTCCCATCTGCATGTTTTGTCTGACAGGTTGACGGCACTTCTTGTCCCAAAGTGCGCTTACTACGGTTATTTACCTTGGGTAGACTAACGACAGGTGCGGCTCGGTATCCCGCTTCAATACCAACAACAATGTCAAATATCTGCCTCGCCTGAGGGCTTTTTTGCACATCATGGTTGTTCGCTCTGGAAAAAGAAAAACCCATGGGATGCTTGGCCAGCTGCTTGTGCCTCCGACCTGTGTCGAGTCATGGAGCACCCTGTCTTTGTCCTCTTGGCCGAGGTCCTGGGTTGTGGGTCTTCGGCCGGGGGGACTTTGCTGTGGGAGCTTTATCCTCTGGGAGACATTCATTTTTGTGTATGTCAGTCTCTGGACCCCCAAAACTCTATCGGCAGGAATCTCACCAGCGAAAGTGTGATCGGCGACAGCGACAACGATAACACGTGGTGATGCCTCTGCAGATCCGATCTTGTTGTCTACCCACACATGCGTGACAGGGGAACTCCGCAAAGATCTGCCGATTGACGATGACGAGAGATCTCTGGGACTACATAGTTGTCATGATCAGAAGGTTGATGCAGTGGTACGATATAACGACACCGCTTCTTCGTCGACGTAAAATGGCAAAGCCTTTGCACTTTGTAAAACAGCAAAGACCATTTCTCCTTTAATAGGCATTACATAAAAAACCAAACCCTCACACTCCGCCCTTCTCACTCCATATCGGACAGGCATCTCCACCAAAGTCATGCCGGGAGCTTCCAATGAAAAGCGTTTTCACCCTGGCGGGGAGAACGGCTTGCTCTCGCCGGGACGGTCTAGCTTGTCTTCCTACTTACTCGTCCGAGAACCCGTTGATCATTGCCCGGAAGGGGGTTTCCCTTGACACCAAGATTTATGTAGCAACTGACTCTAGCTTGCAGCCAAGACTACTTCGCCGACTTTGCCTGCCGCACATTTGCTGGGTTCGGAGTGTGTGTGGAGGCTTGGGTATGTATGACAAGGGCTTCAATGTCCACTTCCCACGTGGAATAAAGGGATTCTGACTTCTTGTCGAAATGAGGGCTTCTTTTTCTCCCTTTGGAACTTTCTTCTTTCCTGCAGGCGAAAAAGCACAGGTGCGGCCACCAGTCCACTATTGTAAGAACTTTGTTGTCGCCCCCTTTTTCCACCCCGGGAATCCGCTCTAATGTAACGTACGTTGTGGTGTTTATTTGGCACAACCCAGCCAGTTCTGCGAGCGTCTGGTGATGATCATATTTCATAAAGCAAGGAAGTTGCTGTATTTTTGTTTTCTACTGCTACTGTTATATACCTATTTGTGCCTCGGTGTTTCTGGTACTTCCAAGGATTGTTCTTGATTGTCGTTCCCTTCCCTTCTCGTCGTAACCTCCACACGGCTTCGATTATCCCGCCCACAGCCCGCTGCGATTCGGCCCGTGTTCCAGACTATGCCGTTTGTTCTGTCCGGTTGTTAGACCACGGGATATCTCAGGGTGATATCAGTCGCTCGCAAAAATGACACTCCTTCCTCGCCACCCACCGCACCCCAACGTGCTTGATATCCCAACACCACCACTACAACAAGCCGGTCTCTTCATTATTTTCTTCTTCACAGCTATCGCCTTCGTTGCCTTCCTGCTCCGGCTCTTTTCCCGGCACAAAACTGGACAATGGGGTCTCGACGATGCTATGGTGGGCTGTGCCATGCTGTTCTCGCTCCTGATGATTGGGCCTTTCTATATGTGTAGGTCTAGTTCGACAAATTCCTGCTCGCGGCGAATGCTAACAACGTATAGACATCAAACTCGGATACTTTGGCTGGAGACAAGAAGACGTCCCACCAACATATGATCCAACGCCGGCATTTTGGTGGTTCTTCCTAGCACAATTGTTTTACAACCCTATCTTGGCCTTCGTCAAGGCTTCGGTACTCCTGTTCCTGCTGAGACTCGGTGGTCAGAAGCCTGGCGTTAGAATGGTCATCTACGTCCTCAATACCTTCAACGCTCTGCAGGCTATCGCCATCTTCCTGGTTGCGCTGCTCCAGTGCTTGCCGATCGAGGCCAACTGGGACTTTGCCCTGAAGGCTGACCCCAACACCCGGTGTATTGACAACAGCTTCCACGTCATTGCGTCCTGCTTGACACTGTTCACTGACATCTTGGTTGTTGTCATTCCATTTTGGATTTTCTTGGGCCTCAAGATGAAGAAAGCGGCCAAGGTTGCTGTTTTGGGAATCTTCCTGCTCGGTCTTGCGTACGTTTCCCTTTTTTGTGACCACCGTTCTCCCAACTTCCGCTAACCTTTGATATCCACAGTGTCACCATTATCGGCGCGGTCCGACTCAACGGCATCATCAAGCTCTTTTACAGCACGCCCGACGGCAAGGACCCATTCCACGACGTGACCGTCACCCTCTCCGTTGTCGAAGCCAACATCGCCATCGTGTCTGCCTGCGCGCCAGCCCTGCGACCGCTGTTCCGCATGTGGATGCCCGTCCTCTTCGGCGGCACCACCGAGCGTTACGGCAACAAGTACACCCCCAACAGCAAACTGCCTCACTACGCCGACCAGAGCAACACCAAGGGCGGCAACGGCACCGGCATGCGCGCGGACGACGTCACGCTCAAGAGCATCAAGGCGACGAGGAACCGCGACGGGCACACCGAGTGCCGGAGCGCCAGCCCGAGCGGGAGCGAGGAGGAGATCATGACGTACAATGGGATAATGCGGACGACAGATGTCAGGGTACAGTACGACGGCGCGAGCGGGTTTGCGGTGTCAACAGGGGACAAGAGCAGGCCGAGTGTAGACTCCAAGGGGGTGGACTTTGTTGTTGCTGTTGAGGAGAAGAGGACAGTGTAATGGCATGAATTTGGGAATCAACAACAATGTCAAAAAAAAGGTGGTCAAAAAGGTGGTTGATGGGAATTTTCGACGGGACACTTTAGGGGCGCACCCCCCAGATCTTACAGGCGCACCCCCCTAATAGGGGTTATGTTATAGGTACAACAATTTTTTTTGACTCTTGCTACATTAATTAGCTACTCCTAACTCCTTGCCTTTCTTTATATTTTTCCAACTAGATCTTCGCAAAATTCCGAGACTCTAGTTTTTTTATATTTAAATTGCTTAAATTTATGGTTTTGCTGAATAGATTTTTACAATATAAATAGCATTAACTTACTTATTTTTCCTGCTAACTTTATATCATTCCGGTATTATACTTTTCTTTTTCCTTTTAATTGAAGGTTTAAATTCTATGCTTTATTTAACTATTCTATTTATTTAAAATTTTCAAGTTATATAATAATATTAATAAATTTTTTCATTTATAAAAACCTAAGTAGCTATATTTCTACGGATAAAAAGCTTCTTGATAAGGCTTAAATTAAAAAGTCTGGGATTTTAAAATATCTATATATTAATCCTACAATTAATTAACTATATTTCTTGTTCCCAATTTTATACTGTGTTATTATTATACTTTTCCTTGTTTAAAGATTTTAAACTATATAATAAGACTAACGAATTTATACTATTTAAAGAAATGATTATAAATTTTTCGGAATTATAATTTTTATATAATTACTAACTTAAAGTTAAAGTATGTTAAAACTATTAGTTTAAATTTTGTTAAAATTAAAAAGCTAAAGTATATTTTAACTGTAAATATTCATGTAGTAATTCTTAATAAGTCATCATTTAAAAAGTTAGAGTAATATGAATTTTAAACCATATGGGTCATTTAGCTTTTGTAATATAAAATATAAATATAGTTTTTAATATAACATAGTATTTAATGTACTGCAACTTTGATTTATAGCGGATGATAAACCTTTTTCGATATTAAATAAAAAGTAATATGGTATTAATATTATATTTCTTTAATAGTCATTATTTAGCAGTTCGTGATATTAAATATTTTTTATATAACGGAAAAATAGGTTTTTTTTCTAACGTAGCGTTCTCAGAGGATTATAACTTTACTGTTTAGAGCTATTTTAGCTCTATATAACTTACGTTTCATTTTACTATTTTAATAGTAGGTAAGGCTACTATTTTTATTTTCCATATTATACCCCGGCGCTTTCTTTCTTTTTAAAACAATGACTCATTATTAATAAATCCTCTCGGTATTGATT